ATTCCAGCAAGATTCAACGGTATTTTGAAAAGCAGTGAGCATGGCCGTAGCCAGATCGAAATTTAGGGGGCCTATACAAAAAATAAATAAAAATTCAAAACCAATAACTTACTTATTAAAAAATTGTTTATTATAGCTTAAAATTATTGTAACCATTAATGTAACACAAAAGTTGATATAAAACTATTCTTCGATATAAATAGTTAACTTTTTACTGCGCATGTTTATTTTACGAGGAGGAAGCATCGAAAGCCTAACCCCGTCATTATGAGACTTTAACCCAAGCTAAACTTCTTACCGTCATGTACCGTTCCCCTTCTGGTACCACCGTCAAGGATTTCATAGGGATTATAACACTGTGTGACTGATAAGGTTATAGATCTATTCTCTTCTTCTTCTTTTTATTTGGCGATGTAACCGCCAAAGCAATTTTGCCCGAGTTCAACAAAGCACGCCAGTCGTTTTTCTTCTGTGCCAACAGACGCCAATCGGAAATGCCAATTGAAGCCAGAATACTTTCAGAGCTGGAGCGTCGGTGTGCATTCGAACGACATGGTCAAGCCAGTGGAGTTGCTGTATTTTAATTCATTGCGCGATGTCCATGTCGTTGTAAAGTTCATACAGCTCAGCGTTCCATCGTCTGCTGTACTCGCGGTCGCCAACGCGTAAAGGCCCGTAAATCTTCCGAAAAGTCTTTCTCTCGAATACTCCAAGAGCCACCCCATCGGATGTTGTCATTGGCCATGCTTCTGCGCCATATACCAGCACGAACATGATGAGTGACTTATAGAGTGTGGGTTTCGTAGGTCGAGAGAGGACTTTACTCCTGAATTGCCTACTCAGTCCTTTTGTTGGTTAGAGCGATTCAGCGTTGGATTTCCATGCTGACATTATTATCGGTGTTAATGCTGGTTCCCAAGTAAACGAAATTCTCTACTTTCTCGAAATTATAACTGCCAACAGTGACGTGGGAGCCAAGGCGCGAATGTGCTGATTGCTTTTTTGATGACAGGAAATACTTCGTCTTGTCCTCGTTTTCCACCAGATCCATTTGCTACGCTGCTATGTCCAATTTGGAAAAGGGCAGAACAGACTTCGCGGTTTCTCTTACCGATGGTGCCAGTGTCATCGGCATAAGCCAGCTCATGTAGTAAATTGTTCCTGAGCGGTTCAGTTTTGCAGCTCTTATTATATTCTCAAGCATCAGATTAAAGAAGTCCCATGAAAGGAAGTCGCCCTGTCTGAAACTCCGTTTGGTGGCGAACGGCACGGTGAGGTCTTACCCAATTCTGGCAGGGCAGAGCTGGTGGTATTGCTCAACGTCATTTTACACAGACGTATGAGTTTTGAGGGGATGCCATATTCAGACATAGCGGCGTATAGGCAACTCCTTTTAGTACTCGAAAGTGGCTTTAAAGTTGACAAATAGGTGGTGAGTGTCGATCCTTTTCTCGCGGGTCTTTTGCAAGGTTTGGAGAATTGTGAATACCTGGTATATGGTGGATTTTTCAGGTCTTAAGCCACACTGATAAGGTACGTTCAGTTCATTGACAGTGGTATTGAGTTTTTTACACAATACTTTCGATAAGACCTTACAACCTATGCGTAGAAGTCTGATCTCGCGGTAGTTGGCACGCATGGTGGGGTCGGGCAGAGCGGACTTTGGTTCCAGTCGTCGGGCATGCACCTTAGTAGCTCCTTGCCATCGTAGTTGAATATCTCAGCTGACAGGCCGTCATCTCAAGCAGCTTTGTTACTTTTCATCAGCATAATCGCTATTCGTACCTCGTCATAGTCAGGCGCTGGGATATCGCCTCCATCGTTATCGACTGGGCACTCGGGTTCATCTTCTCCACTTCTTTCAGTGCTTCTGCCATTCAAAAGGGTCGAAAAATGTTCCCTCCATAATTTGAGTACGTTCTGGACATCGGTCACTAAGTCACCATGGTTGTTCGCTCAACTCTCCACTAAAAATATGGGGTGTTTTATCTGTCGGCCAGCATTTCAAGCATTTTTCTCTGCAGCTTCTTGACACTCCTTATCGTACCGGTACCGAGCGGGAAATGTGGTTCCACTGCTTGCGTATGTCGGTTTGTTTGTGAAAGAGTGCTCTCTCACAGCAGGTGTGAAAGTCGAGCGGCAAATCCATTGGCCGTTTGTTTTGATTGCAGCTTTTCGACGTTGAACTTGCCTTGCATTGTTAGGGCCCCTTTTTTCGCTGCACCGAGGTGGGGTCGTATATCGGCTGCATCAATATAGTGGTACGAGGCGATGCTTGGCCGTCGGAGTTTACGTATGTACATCTAAAACACTGGAAGCATGCCTTCTGTCTGTCACAACATACTCGATTTGGTTTCCCGTTTTTCGATCTGGAGACACCCATGTAGCTAGCTGGATCTTTTTATGCTAGAACCCAGTACTACATAGTGCCAAGTTTCGTACCTGGGCGAAGTCGATCAGCCTCAGCCCGCCGTTTCTATGTGGAGGTTGAATTTTTGGGCACTGGCGCCAAAACACCCTTCGTTGCCCACCGTGACATTTAACTCGTCAAGCACGATCTTTCTACGTGTCGGGGCAGCGCTAATATGTATGCTCTAAGCTAAGAGATCCTTAGATGCCTCGTCCTTCTCTTCCATCGGGGCATTGGCACATATGAGCAAGATGTTGAAGAATCTCGGATTGTGGCTAGACGTTCGTCCACTGGAGTGAACGCCGGTCTCTCTTCCACCACAAATCAAACACCGACTTGCGCCCCTGTACGTGGCAACTGTAGTAGGCTCCACACCTACCTTCCTCGCCCCATCCATCGCATTTCATGGATAGCGGTGACGTCAGCCTTTGTTTTCCCTAGGACATCAACCAACCGGCAAAGGCACCTTCCCGATTAAGGGTTCGGATATGCATGCCCTCAAATCATAGTCTTTCCTATGTTTGCCATGATCGTCATCAAAAGAAGGGGGTATCATCCGGGGCATGTGTTGTTTTTTCATTGGGCAGGGTTTTAAAGTGGCGGGACCAAAACCCAGCGCGCGCGCGGTGTTACGCCCTCCCAATTTAGGTCGCTCTCAAACTAGTGGTCGGTCGCTACCTAGAGGATTCATGAATATAAATATCCGGACGTAGTGAGCTGCGATTTGAACCGTAAGCATACGAATCACTTGATGTAGTTCTTAAATCCATAGCTCTAGAAACCTGTATAAAATAGCCGGACCAGACGTTATTCAAAATAAAAAATTTAAAAAAATAAAGTTCTCCGTATACCCTGTAATAATCCTCCGCAATTTTGTAGGGTAAACGTACAATTTATAATCGTTGATTGGCAGCGAAATATATTCTCTTAAATTATATACATATGTATGTATAAATATGAGGAGGTATTGAACATTATGAGTATGCAGGTTTTTTATGCTGGTATATTCATTTATGCTAAATATATTACTTTATTTAGTTTTGTCCCACCGTGTAGTAAATAAAAATATCATTAAGGGCCCTTAACTTATCTATTTTAAAGTATAGTTAAATCATTAGTTAAACTTAACTACAGTAAACTCTTTGTAATTTTTCTGTAGTAAACTTTAACTAATGATTTAACTATAATTTAAAATAGATATATTAGCAGCCTCTAATATGCTATTTTTATTATAGAAATTTATGTCTGTAAACGTCTTGGCTGTTCACCAAACCGGTCTATAGTTTTATCAATAATCTCAGATTGGTTCTGTGATTCAAAAATTTCGATGTACGCTTAGAAGACACAAACCTAAGGACAAAGTAATAAGCAATTGAACTATAAATTTATTTATAGTTTACCGTGCAATCCATTTTCGTTCATTGCCGACTGCAGCCAGGTTTTTACCCTTTTTAAATATCCCCTTATTTACAAAAAAATTATGAATTTTGATATATTGCTGGTCTTTCTGTTTATTCTTTTTCTAAATGTAATTCATCTATGTATTCATAAACCAAACTATTATAAAGTTAGTTAACAAAAAATAATAAAAATGTACATATAATGTTTACATACATACAGTGCGAAAAAATTTTAGTCGCATCAAATTTTTTATTTGAGTTATTTTTTGATTAAAATATAGTTACTTCTTCAACAAAAGCCGTCTCCAAGTTTCAAACTTTGTGCAATATTTAAAAAAAAATCAACAAACTTTCGTAAAAATCTTAAGCATTTTAGTTAAATTTTCGAGAAAGATTTTGGGTATGCAATTTTGTAGCCCACACATTTCAAGTATAATATAGTGAAAGTTTCAAGTGTCTAAAAATTTTCGTTTTAGAATTTTTTTGGCGAAGGTGTTGCGGTTTTCTTCCATATAAAACTAAAATGTGTTATTTTTGGCCATTTGAACCTTTATTATATGTACTAGAACCAAGGCGAATTTTCATAAGGTGGTGTTGTTTCATCAGCTTTGAGTAGAGTTTGATTGCAAGTGAGTGAGAGAAAACGTGAGAGTGTTTGTATTTTCTGTCGCCCTTTTTCCTTTGGGGAAGAATAGCTGAAATTTGATAATGGCCCGCTAAGCAAAAAAATACAAGTAATTGTTGTATTTGTTGAACCGATTCCACCTTATATAAATTCGCCTTGACGAGAACTTGACGAGTTGTACTTTTTGGTATCTAATGAATGGAGAATTTTGTATATATGATTGCAATTTGCTATTGTTTAATATTTATTTAACGAAAATCAAAAAATCACAGCCGATGGCGGTAAAAATAGAAATGTCAATTGACAATTTGTAAATAGTGCTGCCATTGTTCCCAACATTGCTGCAAAAAATTGCTGACTTGAATACTTAATAACGAAGGTTATTATCGAGCAAGCATTTCCTGGTACTATTTTTGAATATCTACGCAAAATTTTGGAAGTTAGGGGGGGTATCTGGATACGCCCTTGCTTTTTGGGCCATACGTACAAGACATATATTAGTTTATTAAATTTGATTGCGTTTTACTACAAAATTAATATATATGTACTATACATGTATGTATAACTATATACATATCTTCCACTTACATTGGATATCAAGCATCCAGCCATCTTCCAGTGGTGCTGTTATAACAAGATTATATGCTTTACATGAGAGATATTTCCCGGCATCAGATTTGTCAAAAGTAATTGATAATGTACTTGTTGTCTGATTTCCATCGCTTGATATCTATGCAGGGTTATGTAAAGAAAAATGTAAGAGAGGATTTAGTTTAAGTTTATAATGGATAATAATAAACATAATATTATCCCTGTTTCTTTTTTTACGCGATAACGTATCTACACTAAAATTTATATGGCATTTATGGAAAGCTAAACTCCAAGTTTTGTGTTCGCTTATGAAATAGTGGTCGATGTTTTATCAATCTTTATATTATTCTTAAACAAGGCGCTTATTTTCAGCGATCTACAAATCTAAAGTAAGCTAACTCAAAATTCAGAGAGGGGAATATATCTGCAATACAGGCATAACAGTAGTTTTTTAGTTAATTTATATAATCATGAAGTCCTATATAAGTCCTATGAATCCATTATTGCAAAAAATAGCCATACTTTTTTTTTAGTTAATCGCACTTTAGATCTAGGTGTGCGATATGTTCGTCTGACGCGCAGTATTTCGCCACTACCGCTGCACATATCAGTTCGTACTTGAACGTCGGCCAGTAAACATGAGCTTAGAAGCGGATGATGAGGTTGCGCTTATGGTTACGGTTATATTATACATACTAACTGACACGGAAAACTTCGTCCAGCCCAACACCATTTTTTTTATTTACATATGCTGCTCTGCTTTATGTACATAAAGCTGCTCATTAACTTAGACGCTTTGCAGAGGGGCTAATTCCCTAGATAATTACCAATCCTTGAGAATTGTGGCTACCTGAACCACTGATTGGTCTTCCGATCGGCGGCATAATTGTTTTCAAATGATGAAAGTACAATGTCAAAGAATTCAAACTACCTTTGAAGCAATCGAACCATAACCGCAAAAGAAATGCAAACGCAAAAGCTTCTTATTTTGTCTTGTTGATCAAGATTGTATCTTGTCTTTTTCATATCCGGCAACCGTAAATGGAATCGCTAAAAATTTACAACGCCCTCCAGTCAACGAAACGTACATATTTTTTATTTTTATTAACTTTTTGCATTGATACAATTTTGCACGTCCAAACCGTTTCAATTGTACGATCAAAATTAAGAAATTTAAAAATATTCAAAAATTGTATGTATTACAACGCTTTTTTCAACTTACAATCTTGTTTGTCCAGACACTTTTGCTATAATGAAAGTTCCTATAAAACAGTCTAGAAATCAACCTCGTCGGTAGGTATTATATTAACGAACATACAATTAGACACTAGAGGTAGATGTCTCCTCGCCGGAAGTAGTTGAATATTGAACAACCGGGTTATTATTACTGCGTCTATGAATCCCAGTCTAGACATCAACCTCGTCGGTAGGTATCATATCAGAGAACATATCATTAGACACTAGAGGTAATGGACGACACGCCATTTCTTTAAATGAAATTAACTGGTGCTCGTATATATGTACATCAGTGTTGCCAGAAGTGTACATTTATCTTCAAAATGAAAATATCTTTTAACAACAAAATAAAAGCCCATAAAAATTTCCACATTGAAGATATCTGGCAACACTTGGAGATTTATTTTTTTGGGGTAGCTGGCGACAAATTTTTCGTTTTTGTCATCAATCTTGTGTTGCTATTGTCAAATATGGATAGCAAAAATTATCCGTTGAACTGCGCGCACTATATACTCTCTGCTTTTTGGTAGGTGACAGCAAACATTAGGTTTTTGTCATAAATTTACCTTTCGGGACAGGTAGATATTAATTTTTATGAATATGTTTTCCACTAGATTTTCGGTCATAATTCGCGCTCAAACTCGGCTTTGTGCCGCTCAAACTAGGCGTTATGAATTTCCTAAGATAAAAATTATGGATCGATATTTGTTAAAATAAAAAGGTAAGTAATTTTGGTTTTTAAATTTAAATTACCAAATTAAATTTTCTATAATTAACTTTAAAGAAACATCATCATAATCATCAAATAGCGAGGATAAACATGATGGCAGATGTGGTAAAACAAGAATCGATATATGAAATTTTCCCAAAAACACCCCTCAAATCTCGATTTACCGTTAGAAAACCGGTTTTTTTGTATTTTGCGCACTTATAAGCCTGTAACTTAGTTGGTTATGAACCGAGTTTCAGTTTATTGCCGGTTTTAAAAAGAAGAAACTTGGGCCTGACGTGCCTGGGCGAAGTCTCTTCTGCTAGGAGTTGTCTGTTTGAGTGACCACGTCTGTGGCTCCGTGTAGTGATAAGCGAGAAAGCGCGGCTATATAACCGTTTACTTTCGAGCACAAATCATCAATTCTATTCCCAGACACTATGATCGAAAAATCTTCAGCATAAGAGACAAAGGAGACTCCCTCTGGTGGGTGAGAGAGCTTTGAAATATAAAAGTTAAACAGTATTGTGGAAAGGACACCACCCTGTGAAACCCCTTGTTTTATTTTCCTAGGTTTTTCGATTTGTCTCCAAATGTTACTGGCGAGTGAAGACCACTCAGGTAATTCCCCGACCACCGTTTGAGTCCCTGTTGAAGATGGGAGGCCTCTATGTCTTCTAGTTGCGTTGAATGGCTGACAGTGTCGAACGCCTTAGACAGGTCCAGCGCTACTAGAATGGTTCTCTCACAGGGGCGGTTTCGGTTAAGGCCACGAGTTATCTGGGTATTTATAGCGTTAAATGCTGTGCACTTTACGTAACCCATGCTGATGATTCGTTGGGGTCAAGTGGTTCATAAAATACGGGAGTAGCAAGGCCTCTAGTGTCTTCGCTACCGGGGAAAGGAGGGTTATCGGACGATAAGACTCTCCTTTGTTGGATGGTTTCCCCGATCTAAGCAGTGGGACCACTCTCCCCATCTTCCAGATGTCTGGAATGACGCGGGTGGCCATTGACAGATCGATGACTTCTGTTGGGTACGCTACTTCCGCAGGACCTAAATTTTTCAGTACCAACATGCAAATTCTGTTGGGTTCAATGGCTTTGGGGGATTTCGCCTTCCCATTGGCTACCCTTACCTCACCGCTGGTGAAAACAAGAGGCGCACTAGGTTTTGGCAGTTTGTGCAGCCTTCTGTTCACTCAACGTTTGGCTTTATCCACTGGAGGATGCAATATGAACTGCCGGCTAAAATGGAACGCGCATCGCTCCGGATACGACGAAGCGTAGTCACCAAAGTCTATCTCAACTCTGTCATCACGCTTCGTAGCGTTGGACTATGACCTCACGGTTGACCAAAGCTTACTCACACCAGAGGCGAAGTTGCAGGGTTTCAGATGCTGTTCCCATTTCCTCCGCTTATGCACGTTCACAAGTTGCCGAATCTCCGAGTTGAGATCCCTGATACGGGGTTTTCGGGATCGGCCTGACGAAGGTTGTCGCCCTCATCGGCTAGGACAGCCGCTTCAGCAGGAAAATTCGGACGGGGCCGAGATGCATCCCGCTGGGACGAAGCGGGCTGCAGCAGCAGTGACAACCCTTTGGAATTTACGCTCACCTAAGTGAGTTTCGGTTGATGTTTGTAGCGCAGTGAAGCCGCTTTCAGTAACATCCGCGAAGCCTTTCCAATCAGCTTTAGAACAGTTGACATAGGTCCGGTGATCCGCGGAAGCAAAGTCACTGGTTTATCAATCGAGATGGCTATGCGCAGATGGTCTGATGCTAAGGTCAGCATAGGTCGCTATGATATACTGTTTACCAGACCAGCACTGACTATTGTTAGGTCTAACGAGCTGCAGCAGCTTCCCATAATCCTGGTGGGTGCGTTGTCGTTCATTGTGCAGAATTGTGCATTGCGCTGTACCAATTGTGTTCCCGTACGATCGTTGGACAGGCTTGAATGCCAAAGACCGTGGCGCGCATTGAAGTCGCCAACTACCGTACGGTTTTCACCTCTGAGGAGCGCACCTATTTCAGGGTGATGTCCTGCCGGGAAGCTGGTGGCGGGGGGTATATATACCCTAAATATTTTGATCTCGACATCGCTTGACCAGTTAGAAATACCTTGACATTCTAGGATGGTATCCCTGCCGTCGATGTCTGCTTCGATAAGATAATACCGCACGGTGTGGTGCGTGATGAACGCTAGGAGGCTACCATTATCTCGCTCGCGATCTCGACGGGGCACGTTGTATCCGGCGCAATTCAGCAATGTTGAATTGCCATGCAGCTTCGTTTCTTGGACCGCAGCTACTAATATTCCGTGCTCGATTTGTGTAGCAAGGGGCCACGTATGCGGTAGTCCACTGCCTATGAGTCGTAAGTCCATTGCATGTGTTGCATCTGACGGAGGTGGAGTTGTGGTATAGTCGCGTCTGGTACATGCAGCAGGTATATGTTTCTGGTCCAGGGTTTGAATAAATGCCAGCCCTGAGCAGAAGCATGCGAAGAAGATGTAGCCCTATTAACGTACAACGTTTGAGGGATTTCGCCGACCTAAACGGGGTTACATCGCCGAAACAATAGCCCTTGGTCGGGGAAAACCCGAGTCATTCCGGTACGCAGGGGTACTCTCGCAGTGCACGGTGCAGGGATTAGCGGGTTTGCAAAGCTGTCCCATAGGAAAACCGGTTTTTTTTCGTGCAATCCATGCACCGTGAAAGGAACTCCTTCATCAAGAAATAGCAACAATTAAAAACGCTTCGGAGGATAAAATAAAACAAAAACGATTTTAGAATATTGCTAGTCACTACAACGAGAAACTGATGATTCTGAATTCTTTAGTAGTATAGTCAAAAATAATATTTTTGCAAAAATTTTGTTATCATAAAAAGGTTAATAACTCGGTGAACTTTCATCCGATTTTTGAAAATAAACACTAGTTTTTTCGTTATTAAGTTTAGTTTTACAATCAATTTCGGACTAATGTGGGTTTCTAATAAAATACTGCGTTCGAAAGGCCCAAGCTTCTTCTTTTTAAACACGGCAATAAACTGACTTATAAGTGCGCAAAAGTACGAAAAACCGGTTTTTTACCGGTGTTTGGCAAATTTATTATTTCGATTCTGATTTTACTCCAAAAGACCTACCAGAAAATATACATAACTTCCTAGGCTTTATTCTTTTTTGTTACAC